CCGAGTGAGAGGGCCCTGCACCTTCACCCAGGCCTCCCGGTGCCTCCGGAGACCTCCTCTGACTGCCTCCTCCCCACGGCAGGCAGGGGTCCAGGTGCCGGGGGTTCAACAATGAAGAAGACAAATCTTTGAGGGTCTCGTGGCTCACAGGATGGGCAGAGCAATCACCACATGCAACACTACAAGGAGTGTGAGGACTGACACAGACACCAGTCGGGCCCTCCGAATCCTCCTCCCACCCAGGCCTCGACCTTGGACTTCTGTGTCTGTCTCTGCATTGCCCAATTTCAGCAAGGATCCTGCAAAGTAGGTTTAGCCAGGGTCTCCCCTGCCCCACATCTGGCCAAATTCCTCATCCCCCACCCTTGGATCTGATCACCCCGGCCTGCCTTCAGCAAGACCCCGTCACTTGGGTTTAGCCCGAAACCCCAAACCCTTAGGTCTCCTCTTAGCAACTTTCCACCTGTCGGCCCTCCACCCTGCTCCTTGGCTGTAAATCCCCAATGCCCGTGCTGTGTTCAGAACTGAGCTCGGTTCTGCACTGAGGTCTCTTCCTCTGCTCCAGCAGTTCCTGAATAAAATCTGTTTGTACCCCGAAACCACTGTCCTGCTCTGGATTTTCTTTAACAGGGAAGGGAAGGGAACAGAGGTCCTGTCTGGGGTTGTTCAGGAAAAGCTGCTCCAGGGAGGCCAACGGGAATGCGGAGGATCCTGGTGGGTTCCAGCAACGGCGTGCAGAAGGGAAGCTTGGCAACGAGGCCAGAGGCCAGGCAAGGTGGGCTCAGCATGGCCTTGAAAAGCACACGGGCAGCCTGAGCTTGGGCTGGGACATCCAGGCTCCTCGGTCCCTGTCAGGGTTTCAGGGCTGGTGAGTCTGCTGGGGCCTCTCTGTCCCATCCACCAGGACAACAGAGAAGGATCCCGATTATTTAGAACATGACTGCTCCAATCTAACTACGCAACTGGGAAGGAAAGGGTCGAGGATTCATGCAAATGATCGCTGGTCTCGGAATCGGTGAATTTAGGGCTGGAAGGCATTTCAGGGATTGTCTTGGTCAGCTCCGGCTGCCATAGCAAAATGCCACAGACTAGGTGGCTTAAATAACATTAATAGAGGCCGGGCGCGGTGGCTCACGCCTGTAATCCTAGCACTCTGGGAGGCCGAGGTGGGCAGATCATTCGAGCTCAGGAGTTCGAGACCAGCCAGAGCAAGAGAGAGACCCTGTCTATACTAAAAATAGAAAGAAATTAATTGGCCAACTAAAAATATACATTAAAAAATTAGCTGGGCATGGTGGCGCATGCCTATAGTTCCAGCTACTCGGGAGGCTGAGGCAGGAGGATCACTTGAGCTCAGGAGCTTGAGGTTGCTGTGAGCTAGGATGACACCATTGTACTCTAGCCCAGGCAACACAGCGAGACTCTGTCTCAAAAAACAACATTGATAGAAATTTACTTCCTCACAGTTCTGGGCGCTGGAGCCCAAGACCAGGGTGCCAGCATCAGGGCTCTCTTCTCTGGTTGTGGCTGTCTTTGTGTGGGGTCCTCACGTGGCAGAGAGCTCCGGGGCCTCCTCCTCTTCTTGTCAGGACGCCAACCCCATCGTTAGGGCTCCACCTCGTGGCCTCATCCAAACGCCATCACCTTCCCCAGCCCTCATCTCCAATTACCACCACACTGGGGGTGAGGGCGGCAACATATGAGTTTGGAAAGGAGCCAATTCCGTCCACAGCGAGGACTGTCGCCTCCCTGAACTCGCCACCAGAGGAAAGTGTCCCTCTTTTCCAGACTGTCCGCTGGGCTTCCTGCCGGGAAGCTACACTTGACCTTCCAGGTTCTTATTCTCTCCTGAACAAGGAGGAGATACCCTCACCTGGCCACGGGACTCGGTTCAGACAGCGAGGGACAGACCTGAACGTGCTGTGGGGTCTGTGCTGCATTCAGGCTCTGTCCCCTCACTCTGCAGTCTACCCCTGCTGAAGCTGTCTCTATTTCATTTTTTTTCAGCGTCTTTCCTTGCAGTTCCCAATCCCTAGGCAGCCAGAGGGCACACTCAACGTTTTTTGAAACCTGATTCTTTTAATCCCCTGCTGCATTCTTTTCTGAACAATAGCCCAAATGACACTGGATGATTTTATTTGAACAGTTTTATCCACAGTGTTAAAAGGAACAAAAATACAGTGTCCGTAGATTTAGGCTGGCCAATCTACAACGGGCTTTCAAAGAAAATAAAACTTTTCATGACTTCAATAAGCCAAGAATCAAAGCACTGGGGTCGTTCTTCTGACCAAAAACTAAACAAAACAAATTAATAACATAGCCCCAAAAGGGTCAGCACAATGTCATTAATGGGGTCTCTGGTTTTTCTGTGCAACCAACCATGTTAGAAAAATCTGAAGATTGTGTAAAAGCTCTTTGATTGTCTAGTCTGGTGAAATAAAGGAAGGACGGTATCTTTAGCGCCACATAAAACACAAAGACAAGAGTTTCCCCCTACCCCAAGAACATCTTCTCCCCTATTATTCTGGAAGCCTGTGGCCCTAATGGTAGAGCCATAGAATCTAGGCTGCTTGGTTAAGGTCCCCCAAAAGAATTAGAGAGTGACAGGAATTCAGCATGCAAACACAGGGACAGGGTCGGGGAAGGAAGAGACAGACTTTAGACAAGGGAGTATGATCATTCTAGAAACCGTGGCTTGCCCAGATTGATATGCCGCACCCTACACACGAGGCAGGGAGCGCAATTTCCAGCATTCAACTTCGATGGGCCGCACGAAGCCATCTTCACTCTGCAAGGCTTGCAATTCGGTTTCTTAACGAACGAGCCTGGCCGTGTCTGAGATGACGACCCCAAGCCCCTCGGGTTGGCTCGCGATGCCCGGCGCGTCTGTTCCAGCCGGTCTCCCCCCGCCGCTCTGCCCTGTGTCACCCTGGCTCTCTCGCAGCTCGGTGGCCCCCAGCTCTTTCCCTGCTGTGGGTGGTTCCTTCCCTCCCGCCTGCTGTCTTGTCCTCACGTCCCCCCTTCTGCTCGGCGGACTCTGCTTACCCCTCATTGCCAAGTCCTCAGCAAAGCCGTGCCTTTATTTACCATTCACGCCACCCACTTCCATGAACGGAACTGCACTTCATTCATTTCCTGTACACACCTGGGAACACCACCCACCTTCCTCGGTGCTCAGTAAGGGCGGACGGACGGCAGGAACCGGTCTCTGCGCTCCTCACTGCCGACGCACGGGGCTTGGCACGCACAAGCTCGAGGGACAGTTCTGCATAAACCGAGGAGAAGTCAAGACGCTCACGTCTCCAGAAGCCAAATTACGCTCCTCTGTGACTTGGACACATTTTCTTGCTTGAAAACGCACGCTTGATTTATACGGCCTCTCTTCGGGGTGACACTGTTTTACGAAAAAATTTCAGCGTGTTAGGTATTTTTGCTTTATGTACATATTTCACAAGACTTCAACTATTTCTCAGAAGAAAGAGAATCTGGCTTGTTCCAGTGGAAGAGGAAGCGGTGTGAAGAGCTTTGCCCCCGACGGCTCACACAGACGGGCCGGCGGGTGGTGGAGCCGGGCGCGCGGGCCGCCGCGGTGTTCAGAGACGGGAGGGCACGGCTCCGCTCCCGCGCCCAGCGGCCGAGGCAGCCTGCCACCTCCCCACACCTGCGGGAGGCCTTTCATCACACCACGCATGCTCTGGTAGCTCTCTGGAAAACGGGATTCTAAGAGGCACGCAGAATCAATAAAAGATACGTCTTCACAAGCACTTCACTCCAACGGCGAAGGCGCAAGAACAAATGCACCCTGGTACCTCCCGCCCAGCGGAGAGGCAGAGCGTGGCCGAGGGACCAGCATTGCAGCCTCAAATTTCACTGGGAACATTTTTTTTTTTTTAATTTGGGGACATTTGCTTAACGGAGTGAAAAATACCAGCAAAGCCACCTGCCCAGGGTCAGGACAGTCAGGCTAACAGGGAACAGTGACAATGACTTGGCACAGGGCGTTTCTCAAAGCCCGTCCCCTCTGGAATAGTAGGGTTCAACCACGAAGTGAAGTGTCTTGATTCCGAAGTCCCGGGTGTGACTCCCCACCCCGCCCTGTGGCCAGGCACAGACTCGGGCGGAAGCTAACCGGGAGCTGCTGTTTGTCGCGGCACCCCAGCGTGTCAAGTCACCCCACGCTTCTGTGAGAATGGGAGGAAATTCTGCAGTGTCAGCTACAGAGTCAGACGCCCAACACCAACCAAAGCACTGCGGGGGGCCATCACCTCCCGTCGTGTTCCAGATGTGGGGGACCCCCTCACCAGTCATGGACTGCTCATCCTGCTGGGGAGCCTTTGATAAGGAAGGGCTTGAAGGAAAGAGGACACCTGGCCACCTGAACAGCTGAAGCCACCAGGACAGGAGAGCGCTCTGCCTCCCTCCAGAGGCTCAGAAGGGCTCACTCAGTTTCCGTGAGAGCTGAGGACCTCCCAGAAGAGAAGGAAACAAAACAAAACACGTCGGTTAAGACAGGTGTCTTTGCTGTTGGCACAAACTGTACCATGGGAAGAAAGCAACTGCGCCTTTATGTGCCTGCTGCCCGTGGAGACCAGACAAGGCTCTCTGCACAGTCTGGAAGGTATCACTTTGGGCACGGTAGAGACACCGTCACCGGGGTGTGTAGACGCGAGCCATGGGGGAGAGACGTGGGGTCTTCCCGCCCCGACTCAGGGAGCCCCGCGCTAATCAGGTCTCCGTTGACGCCTCCCTTCCCTGGGTCTCACGTTCACTTACGGCTGAGTCGCCATAATTGGGTCCATGCCCTGACAACACCAGTCCCCTGGTAGAGGACAAAGGTGACAGGAAAAGAGCACGGACCAGCCGGCACACATCTGTCACCCGGGATGGTGGCACGGGTGGCGGGGAGGCGTGGACCCGGGGGAGGCCAGCACCGAGGTCCAGCTCCCCCTCCCCCCGGATGATCTTAGCAAATCATTTTCTCTCTCCCAACCCGGGCTCTCATTTTTAAAAGGAGTCACAATGCCCAGTCTGAAGGCTGGTGTGAGAGTTAAACAAGATAACATTCCTAGCACACAGCGGGAGGTTAATAAACGCTGGCTCCCCTTCCTTCCGTGAACGTTCCAAGAACACGAGTTCCTTTGCCGTCTCTGGGAACACATGGCACTGCTCTTGGTCCTACAAGCCACGGAGCTGTGCCTTTGTTTCCTTCATATCATTCTGAATTTTGTCCTTGATACTGCAATGAAACTGGCGGTGCCCCGCCAGCCATTTCTGCAAGAACAGACTACGATTTTACCAGACAAGCCACTGGAAAGCAAGGGAGGGAACTCATATTCCCATTCAACGCCACCTAGGGGGGCCGGGAAGGTCTGGGGAGCCGGCGTCATCTTCCTACCCGGCCGCGTGCCAGGCACCCTCTCCCTCAGCAAGTAACCTCTCTCCCCGGTCTTCACGCACATAATTATGCAACAGAAGGCTTGCATACAACTAAAAAGTTCAGTTTTTCCCAGCTGTCTGGGACAAGCTTCAAAACTTGAGCAGGAAGGCTGCCGACAGAGCAGGGAATATGGGCACACACGCCTTTCCCAACAATGACCCACAAATGAAAGAGGGAAAGACCCCCGAATGTTCTCCTGTCTGGCTGTCACCGACAAGAAACAGCGGCCCATGTGGAGAAAGACCCGGCAGCTGCTGCCGCTGCAGGTCCCAACGCTAAGGCTCTGCACAGAGACTTTTATTCCCATCAGCACTAAGCTGTGCTGACAGTTTTCATCCAGCCGGTGACTGCCCATCTCGACGAGCATCCCCCGCCCAGGCCCCGGCCTGCGTCCCAGCGTGGGCCCATCTAGCATTCGCACCACTCGGTCACGTGCAGGAGCTCAAGCTGCTGCTCCCCGCTGTGCCCATCCTGTGAAGGGAGAACACCCACAAAATCTTTAAAAATAAGCTGTTCTGGCCGGGCGGGGTGTCTCACACCTGTAATATTACCTAGCACTCTGGGAGGCTGAGGAGGGAGGATCGTTTAAGGTCAGGTGTTCAAAACCAGCCTGAGCAAGAGCAAGACCCTCGTCTCTACTAAAAATAGAAAGAAATTAATTTTGGCCAACTAAAAATATAGAGAAAAAATGAGCCAGGCATGGTGGTGCTTGCCTGTAGTCCCAGCTACTCGGGAGGCTGAGGCAGGAGGATCGCTTGAGCCCAGGAGTTTGAGGTTGCTGTGAGCTAGCCTGACGCCACGGCACTCACTCTAGCCTGGGCAACAAAGTGAGGCTCTGTCTCAAAAAAAAAAAAAAAAAAAAGGCTGTTCTTACTAAGACAAAACCAAAATTATTCTACTTCCTCTATATGTTAATCCATGGAAAAATTGGGGGGAAAAGTCCTTGTCTATATTTTCCAACATCTTCAAAAACAGCTAATCCAGCAAGTACTTACCAAAGAAAGAGACACAGAAAAAAAAATGTGCAAAAACAAACAAAAAAGAAACCTGAAAATCCAAATATAAAGAATACCAGAAGAAGAATTTAGGCCTCAATTCGTGTAACTCTATAAGTCACCAGACCTCAATTTCCCTGTCTCTGCAGTTCCCTTGGCCTGGAATGCCCTTCCAGCCTCTCCAGCTTGTTTCTAACCATTCCTTAGTCTTCAGATGACACGAGGCCTGTCATCTTTTAGTTTTCCATGAAGCAGAGATCAATAACTTCTTACTATTTGTTACTAATTTTATATATGCTTCTTAAAGTAGCACTTATTATATTGCAACATAAAAGGCCACTGTTTTGTGAAACCTCTTTGCTTTCTCCATTTGATCATTCTAGTACCTGGCTCAGAGCCTGTTGAACACCCAAGTGCAATGCATATTTGATGAGTGAATGAGATAACAAACACCATCTCAATAAGAATTAGACAAAGAAGAATCCCTATTTTCTTCCTTTTTTTTTTTTTTTTTTTTTGAGACAGAGTCTCACTCTGTTGCCCAGGCTAGAGTGAGTGCCATGGTGTCAGCCTAGCTCACAGCAACCTCAAACTCCTGGGCTCAAGCGATCCTCCTGCCTCAGCCTCCTGAGTAGCTGGGACTACAGGCATGTGCCACCATGCCCAGCGAATTTTTTCTCTATATTTTTAGTTGGCCAATTAACTTCTTTCTATTTTTAGTAGAGACAGGGTCTTGCTCTTGTTCAGGCTGGTCTCGAACTCCTGAGCTCAAGCAATCCTCCCGCCTCAGCCTCCCAGAGTGCTAGGATTACAGGCGTGAACCACCGCACCCAGCTGAGAATCCCTATTTTCTGTAACTGGAACTGCATAGCCTGGTATAGAGAAGATTTTACCAAGGAAAGCAGCAGTTAGGGAGAAAACCTGCTACAGGCACATACAAGTGAAACTGGTATTCTACTGGAAGGAACTGGTGCCTCTTTATTTTTTATATGTAAAATGGGGGTAATTAAGTCTCCTTGAAGCAATGGGATTTGCTACCAAAACAGCCAAAGAAGTCACCTTAACCCATTAGCAAATACCATGTTTGGGACGCTGATGGAAAGAATCCTACACAATCAGGTTTGCACGTCTCACTTTTACCAGTGGTTTATAAAAGTTGATTATGCTCAAAGAGAGATGGGGATAAAAAAAGCATGGAATTATGTGATAAGAATTTTCAATGTTATATAAAATGTTTAATATTGAGACAACATGTCTCAGAGAAGGAAAAGTCTAGAACAAGGACCAATGAGTAGAAAATACGGACAGACAGAATTCAACTAAAGACTTAACAATGGTTATGCAAACAACTAGTAAAATCTAAAGGTGGAATGAGCTATTCTAGAAAATACTGAATTATGTGTCAATGAAGATGTTCAAACACTTGGTAGAGAGAATTCAAGCATTAAATGGGCTGTAAAACTAGCTTAATTTTAAGGACTCTTCTTTCATCTAAATTCTATTAGTTAACAAGATTAGTTAATAAGCCGTTAGGGCATCAATTTTATAGCATATCTAAGCCTTTTAATTTTTTTTATTTTAAAGATGTAAGAAGACATTGTTAACACCTCTTTACGTAAAATTAGTTTAACTGTGGAATCCCAGGCTTAGAAACAGTTCCCTAGTATCAGAAGTTAAAATACAATTGCCACTTAGAACTGGAACCAGACAAGGCTGCCCACTATCTCCACTTCTGTTCAACATAGTGCTGGAAGTCCTGGCTACAGCAATCAGACAGGAAAGTGGAATTAAAGGTATCCAAATAGGAGCAGAAGAGATCAAACTTTCACTGTTTGCTGATGATATAATATTATATTTAGAAAACCCCAAAGATTCAACCAAGAAACTCCTGGAACACTGATAAATGAATTTAGTAAAGTCTCTGGATATAAAACCAATACACAGAAATCAGAAGCATTCATA